ACAACAACAATAGTTTTAAAAAATATGGGGGTGAGATCTGATAATAAGGGCCTCCTCTTACGTGGCTAACTTGATGCGGTTGGCAGTTGTTGATTGGGAGCACATGCAGTAGGTAAAAGACATTTTACACAGGAGGTGAATTTATATATTTTTTTAAAAAATATTACAATTTAAAGGGTCGATTTAGCTTACTAGTTATCAACTGACCATTTCACATTACAGATTGGTGACACATGGTATAGCCTTAACTACAACCCTATATCCTGCACCAATTAGTCTCAATAGCTATAGTTATTATTATTTTAACAATCATGCCATGAAGTAAGAGTCAGTCTAAGCAACGTGTGACCTCAGCTGGTCCTAAAGCTGGCCAGCCAGCGCCTAAGCGAAATTCTAATACTCAAAATAAGGAAGATGACATCACTATACATTTGGCTCAGATAGGTCGCACAATGCAGGCTTGTGCAGCAGTATGTGAGCAGTTGGCTCACCACCACTTGCAGAAAGGGGGGGAAGTAACTACCTCTCCAATTGTGCATACAAATGTAAATTTAGGCCAGAACACTACACAACAGGCTATTGATAATCCAATTTCATCACCAGACACTGCATGTAGTTTCCCAAGTATATCAGCTATGGAGGTTGGGCAACCAACCTTAGCTGATGTAATGGAGCTTTTGAAGAAAGTTCCTGGTGTGGGGCATTAGGGCGCGACTGCCCCTATGTCTAGTCAACTTACTTTGACTGATCTGTTTCACTTTCTTCAAAGTGTGGTTGTTACAGGTCAGAGTGATGTGCCAACACCTGAGACATCCACGGCTTGCAGTAGAGATGTACCAGGCGCACATGGTAGACAGCACAACACCCGAGCAGCTTCTGCGACACTCACAGTGGGAGCTCAGCAAGCATCAATGGATGTTTCTCCTCATCCAACGAGCTCAGGTTTGTCAGATACTAATAATGTACAGGCAGCATGGCCTTCAGTGGTATGGGCTATAGGTGGGCAGACAGGGTTGACCTCGATAAGTGCCCGCCCTAGCCCTGCACCTGTGACAGCACCTCTAGTTGACATGGGCCTAACCCAAGGTATGGACTTGGGGGTGCAGTGTAACACAAATGTCAATACCACGGTAAGTCAGGTAAGGGAAACTGCTGTGATAGGTGCTTTAGGCATTTCTGGGACTGATCAGTCTTTTGAATGCAATCCATATGCGGGGATGTCTATGCCCTTGGGGTCACACCTTCCCATGACTACAAAAGAAAGGATTTGGAAGGGCGAGTATATTGATTTGTTCTCACTCACATTTCGTGATCCTGAGCCAAGGATCATGGTTAAGGATGTGGTGGTGTTTACCCTTCCAAAAGAATTTCAATCGCATAAGCGCCCTAA